ACCCCAGCCTGGTGGGGCCTTTGATTGGTAACGAAAATTTCTATGTCCTGGCGGTTGGGGCTCAAAGCCTTGGTGGTTTAGTGATCAGAGACTTGGCTCTAAGGAATAATCTTTAAAAGGTTCATTAAACAGTAGTTTTTGCCAAAGCAAAGGGTTTGAATTACTCATGGTGTCTCATTTTTTTTTTTTTCTATAAGCTCTGTTCTGTTCCTCCTCCTGTCTTTCCTGCCCCTTAGCGTTTTATGGGACTCAGGTGCCTGGCAGTGGGAGGTGGGGGGGCTGCACGGGAGGCGCCTGAACCTCCTAAGAGTTAGGGTTTCTGGGTGGGAAGAGCGGCCTCCCTAGCGTCCTGCAGACATCTGGCCGCTGTCTGTGTGTCTGTGTTTCATTCCTTCGCCACGTTTGTGTTCTTGCAGTTTCTGCTGTCCCGAGTCCTGTTGTCACAGCAGTGCGTGGTCCTGCAATAGCAAACAAGAAAATAGATATGGCTGGAGTCCCCAGAGGTGGCCAGTTTTTGTGAATTTTGCTGTACCTATGCCTTCCAGTCTTTTTCATGATAAAAAAAAATATTCAAGCTCCTAGAAAAGTAAAATGAACACCTTTGATTTTAGCACTAGCTTGGCAAGTTCGGGCATTTTGCCTGTGATCTGTTTAAAGATGTAGGAGGGATAGTTCTTGAGCAGCGGGGGTGCGTTGCCCGCCGTGTGCCCCACACCTTGCAGAGTGCGCTTTTCATTTTCATTGGAAGCAGTATACTTGTAAAGTGAAATTCTGCTCTTAGGCCTACAGGAAAATGGCTGTGGCTCCCAACGCCCCGATAAGGTGAGCCCTTGGGCCTCACAGCCTTCTTCATGGCCGCCCTGTGTGTACAGAGAACTTGAGCAATCGAGAAACAGGAACACGCATTTTCTGTGTGCTCTCCCGCCCTCTATGTGCCTGTTGTCCCCTTTCCTGGTGGGCTGCACCTCTGGTAGCACCCCCACCCCCATATTCATATTCATCCTCTCTGTGTCTGTGTCTGTCTGTCTCGGTCTCTTCTGTGTTTCGGAGCAGTGCCTCTGAAGGTGGAGGGAGGGTGTTGTCATAAGGCTGCTGTCCTGGGTCCTGGAAGTGCCCTTTAACCCCCCTGACTGGTGGGTGGGCAGGCATAGAGCTTAAGGTGGGAGTTCCTCCCAGGGATTTGGAAGGCCAGGGGCCGGTGTTTTCTCTGGTTGGTTTCTGTACTTGGCTTTCTCCCCACTTTCACTTGAAAAGTCTGAGGCCATTCTGAGTTTGGGTCCTTTCTGTGGGGTCTGTTCCCCCTTTCCTGGACGTTTTGGGGGCCTTCCTGCTCCTGTGCTCTGAAGTTGGGGGAGATGGGGGCCGGGCTCTGGAGACCAGCTTGCAAGGTCAGCGGCCCCTGCGATTCAAGGTTCTTGGTACCGGGAGTGTCCTCACTCGGGCGCTTCTCCCTGAATCTGTGTTGTGGGGTGTTGGGCTATGTCGGTTGCCTGGTTCTTTTTCTTTCCTTTGGCCTCTGTCTCATGTCCTACTTCTGCTTTTTGGAACTTGTCCTCAACTTTATTTCACGGTGTCCTGTGGGGATTATCATTTCTGCTGTTCCCGGTAATTGTCAGGAGTTTTTTCTTGTCCTCCGAGTGTCCTTTTCTTTTCTTTCTTTTTTTTTTTTTTTTAAGATTTATTTATGTGACAGAGACCGAGAGAGAACGCGCGAGCACAAGCAGGGGGAGCGGCAGGGGGGAGGGAGAAGCAGGCTCACCAAGCCAGGGTCCTGGCCCCGTTTGTGTTGGTCCTGAGCGCAGGATCTTTGATCTCCCTGAGCTCATGTGTGTGTTTCCTTTCCCCTGGGTGGTGTCCACCTTTCCTAGTGGAGGTTTCCTGCGGATGTCTGGTGGTTGCATCTGTCCATATATGATGGGGACAGGGTACTGACCAGCATGGTGGAGGCTGTCTCTGGGAGTCCAGGGTGTTGGGAGTCGGGCACCCACAGGCCATCTGGATCAGCCCTCTTCTGGTGGTTACTTGGCTCAGTCTTCACCTTTCTGGGCGTCAGGCCTGTCCCCGTGTTCCGGGAGGTGACTGGGGAGGGCCGGTGGTGCCCCTTGGCATGGATCTGGAGTCCCTAAGACTGCGGTCTCTCGCTCCCTGGCCGCAGATGGTGAACCCGCGGCTCTGCAAGCCGCGGGGGTGGGGAGTCCGGCCGCGCTGACTGCCCCCGGGGTGGCCATGCTGCTGTGGGCCTGCTGGGCCCAGCCGCTGTGTGGTGGCCTCCTGCGGCCAGTCCCCCCGCCTTTGTCTGCTCCCAGGCGGCCTCACCATTGTCTTGTCTCCTCACGTCTCTGTCCTCAAGGCTTCACGCTTCGGGAACATCTCTTTCCCATCCCTGCAGAGGGAGGTCGGGTCGGGGTGAGCGGGCCTTTGCCTCCATGTTTGTCTGTAGTTTCCTGGCAGGTGTTTGTGCTCCTGCCCAGCACCCGCACACCCTGGCTCTTACGCTTTGGGGGAATTGCTCTTCTTTTCTCCCAGTCATTTAGGAACTCCGCGTGGGCTGTGTCAATGCCGTCTCGTTGGTTTGCTCAGAATCTGGGCCTCACGTGCACATGGGGCTGTGCACGCCTGTTGTCAGCGATGGATTCTGGTGCACGGCGTGGGGGTCCACGGGATGGGGGTCCCCGGTGTGCCGGCTGAGCGGACGAGCCAGCTAGGCTCTGTTTCTCTCCCTGTGTGTCCTGAGTGTTCTCAGATACGCAGTTCTTTCTACGTCCTGTCCTTCTAGTGAGATCTGTGACGAGCAGTTGTTAATACGAGCTCTCTCTTGTGTTGATGCTTATTTTTGGAGCACTGAGGCTCTCGGTACACATGCCAGTTTCCTTATCCGCGCCAGTTGACAATCTCATGGGTAACAGGCAGACGCCCACTTTTCACCCCTTCCTGAACAGGGAAGCGGGACAGTTGTCGTGCTCAGCAGCCCCACCCACGTGTCTCCTGTGCAATGGGTGACCCTTGAAGCGCGCGTGTGTGTGCGCGCGCACGCATGCCCACGAGCGTGTGTATCCTCCTGGCACGAGTAGGGCAGCCGCGGTCTTTGACATCCTGCACGTGAATGAGGCAGGTTGTCTCGTGTCTTCTGCCCGTTCTGCCGTGTGGGGGTCACGGGTGTTTTGCTAACGATTGACGTGGCAGCACAGTCATCCCTCAGAGCAGAGCGCTGTGGCGCTGGCTGCCGCTGAGCGGTATTCCAGCCCCTGCCGGAAGCCCCCACACTCAGAGGCTGGCCTGCTCCCCACGCACGTGTGCTGACCTGTCTGTGCTGTGTGCAGGACCGCACCCTGAGGCTCTGGGAGTATCGGAGTGGCCAAGAGCTGCACTGCTGTCACCTGACCAGCCTGCGGGAGCCGGCGGAGCCGTGGGCTGACAAGGTAACGTCACGCTTCTGTCTCGGGTTTGTCGGGGCTTATAGGGTACCTCTTCAGTCACTGGGATCCTGTGAACAAAACCACTTTTGTGTTGGAAACATTTATTTGCCGTCAGCACAGACGCCTTCCAGCTTGGGAGAGATCGTGTACTTCAAACTCTAAAGGTGTTCAGTCCCGTAAGTGGGAAGTAACTTCTATCGCCTTATTTGTGTTTGAACAACCACGGTACAGAAATGCCTCCTCCAGTCCTGCTTGGAAATGGAAAAGACAGTGGTGCTTGAGCAGAGAGCTTCTCCAGGGGTTTATAGCCAGTCAGGGAGCTGAGTGCCCTTCCTGCATTTCTCCCTTTGTCTGTCATGGATCAGTCTCGATGACCACTCTCTTACCCCTGGGACCCCACACCAGCCAGTGTGTCCCCAGGTCAGGTCACCTGGGCCTTTGTGAGAGATTTTCCAGGGAAAATATGTGGGTTGCCTTTTGGGGGTACTCTGGATTCTGTCGCCATGGACACCTAGCTCTGTGATGCTCCTGGGCTCATGCCTTGCACGGCTGAGGTCCAAGTTGGTCACCCGAGGATGGCCCCACCCGTTTTCCTATAGAGGCCCCCCTGGGCCTGGCAGGGAGGGAGCAGTCTGCTGATGTGGCTCTCCAGGCCTGCAGAGCTGGCGCTCTGGGTGGTTTCTTGATGACCAGGTGTCCTGGCTGTTATCAGGGGAGCTTTGCACTTTCCCTGGGAGCCCCTGTGTGGCCCCCTGCCAGCCCGCAGGAGACCTGGGCCAGAGTTGAGGGGCTCATCTGCCTCATCCTCGGGTTGGCTGCTTTCTCTCCTCCCTCCTGAGACTGCTCTGTAGCCACTGCCCTTACTCGGCCTCAGAAGTGGGCAGGCCAGGCCTGACCATGGGCCAGAGCCTCAAGGACCCTGGGGCTGTGGCCACCCAGTCAAATGGCTGCCTGGGCCCCCAGGTCAGCAGACTCTGCTGCTCTGGCTGCTGGCTCATGGCGCCTCTTGCTTGGGTGTCTGCAGTCCTGGTGCTCCCCCTGCCCCAAGGCCGTGGCGCATGGATACCTGATTTGTTCTAGTAACTTTTTCACATTCATGCTCTCACTTAACCTCCTGGTGCTCAGGGATAGTGAGGTTGACTTTGGTCTCTTTCTCAGAGGTCAGGGTTGGCAGTGTGAGGCAGAGAGAGAACCATGAACCAGCAGGTTTCTGACCTTGGGCCTGGCACCCATAGGCTGCACGAGCTGTGGATGGCCCTGCCTCTTGGGTTCCTCGTTTCCTTCTCAGGAGCCCTCAGGGGCATGGCCCCTGCCCCTCGGGCTGGGCTTGGTGAACATCAGCCCTTTTCTCCCACTTCTCCTGACTGGCATCTGGATGGTCCCACTCCGGGATGTGTGGACTTTGCACACGTAATTGTGTCTTGTTAATGATCCCTTGGGTTCTTTGTCACCTCCTCTCCTTGCTTCTGGACCAGTCTGTTGGCTTTGGAGACACTGAGGGAAGGCCAGAGCCACAAGAGGCTTCTGTCTGCCGTGGCATGTTGGAATTGTGAAACGGGTAGTTTGCTATGCTTTCTTTTCTCTGATTTCCAGAAAGTTCCAAGACTGGTTTCTTGTTTTCCTTCCTTGACCGTAGGGGCAGCTGTCAAGATCTTGCTGTGTCTGATCTCACTTTGAACAGAACAGTCCCGAGTTGGGTCCCTGACAGGCAAACGTGCTGTTATGTTACTGCTTTTTCTTGCAGAAGTTCGCCGCATCCAGGATCACTTACTGGTGTCAGGAGGGCTGCGTGGCACTGCTGTGTGACTGGTGGGTGAGCTCACGCGCTGGCGGCTTTGCTTCAGGGTCCCACACGCCTGCCGTAAGGGAGGGAATAACGTGGGTGGTTCCATTGGCCCCCTGGGCTGTCTCCTTGTTGGGAGGCTTTAGACGCTTTTATTTGTACAACCTGTCCCTGCAGTGAGTTTCACTCTGGGAGGATGGCGGTTGCCTGAGGGGTGTGGGTTCCTTTCCTTAGAGTGGAGTGGCGCTCTTTTACTTGCTGTTTATATTCACTGGTCTCCAGTTGGTCTTTATGCATGATAAAGTCCCACCTGAGGGTGAGAGTAAAGTTGTAGAATACGCTTCAGTCAGCCCCACCCGAGGGCTGGTCCCGATAAAGCCCGCACACCCGACCTAGGGCAGGTCACAGTAGGACCCACCCGAGGGCTCGTGGTGTTGAGGAGGAGGATTTCGGGAGTGCATGCCACCCAGCGGGTTCTGGAGCGTTGTTTATGTGCTGGGTAGGTGTCTGGTGTTTCTGCCCGTCTAGTTTGTCCTCACAGCAAGCCTGCAGAGGGCATCTTAGTTTGTTTTAAAATAAGGATGCAGGTTTAGAGCCAGGAGGCACCTGCACCCAGCGCCCAGCGCCATCTGCTACTGTAGCTGGGACAGTCCTCCCTTCCCCACGACTTGTTCCTTTGTCCTGTGCCGGCTCCCTGTCATCGCGGGACCAGCTAACCTGGAGCTTACTGACTTAGACCTTTATATAATGTCTCGGTTCCTCTGGCTCTTGGGTTGGGTGTTTCTGGCTGAGTCTCGTGGGCTTAGAGTCACGATGTTGGTGGTGGCTGGGTCTTGTGTTTGGGGCAGAGCCAGGCACAGTGCTGAGCTGCTGTCTGTTGTCCAGTGATACCCACACGGGCCTCGTGGTAGTTGTAATAATTTTTCTCTCTTTCTTTGCGGAAAGCATTCCTGTTGTCTACATCTTCCAGCTCGATGCCCACAGACAGCAGCTGGGTTTCAGACAGCAGCTGGCTTTTCAGCACAGAGTGTGGGACATTGCTTTCGAGGAGGGCCAGGGACTGTGGGTCCTGCAGGACTGCCGGGAAGCCCCCCTTGTGCTCTGCAGGCCTGTGGACAGCTGGTGGCAGGTGAGACGTGTTGGGCCCCTGCCGCCCCCAAGCCTCGGGTGGGGGTGGTGGGGGGCAACAGCTGTGCCCACTTTCAGCTTGATCACGTCTTGGTGCTTGGGGCTGCGTCCTTGGGGGGTGGTGGCCGGAGGACTTGTGCCGGGGGTTCAGGGAGCTCATCTAATGTCATGATGCTTGCAGTGTTTCTTTGCGGGATAGTCTCCCTCATGGGCCTATTTCTTCTTGTGATTGTCCTGGTCACACGTCTTTTTAGCAGAGAAACCAGCAGTTGGTGTGATTTGGCTCTGTGTCCTTGATGTTGGTAGGCTTAGCATGGCCTTGTATCTGGGGCGTGGAATCAGGAGTAGAGAGGCATGTGGGCTGTGGGCTGAGCGAGCCCCTCCTCCCCGGGTGACGTGCGAACCTTAACCCCTTCTCTGAGCTGCCCCGCACCCCCGTCTGTAAAGCGGGGCTGTCCCCTGCCTGTCCGGGATCTCCTGCGACACTGTGGGGAGGGGATCCGATGAAGCCCACCAGAGCACTGTGCAGATTGTCTCGTCCTTTACACGTGCTCACTTGACTGAGGGCTTTGGTGGTGCCCCTGAACCTTTTGGGTATTTTTGTCTAAAAAGTAGTGGTGACCAGAATGCCACTAGCTGGTACGTGTCCCCTGCTGGGCTCCTCAGCCAATGGTACGAGGACGAGCCGGCGTGTGGATCCCTGGCGGCCCACACGTCGTGGGTCTTTGTCATGACGTGATGTGGTGACTGCTGTGTCTGTCGCAGTGGGATGGCTGGCCAGCTTTGCCTGGTGCTCCCGAGGGCCTGGCAGCCTGGACCACGCCTGGCAGGTCTGGGGTGCCTCTGGCGGCGGCGCTGGGGCTGTAGTCCTGTGTCTTTCTGATAAGTGTTTTTCGTTTGTCTTCTCAGGCTGTTCCTGAAAATGCCGCCTTAAAGAAGGTCTCCGCCTGTCTTCGGGGGAATTGGGCCATGCTGGAAGGTGAGAGTGTGAGCACGGCCTGCTTTTTGGGATGATGTCCAGAATTGGCCACGGACAGGGCCAGCTTACAGGATACCATACACAGTAGGAAGCCACTTCTGTGGGCGAGAGTCCAGGATGTGTGGCATGTGCCTGTGTCCCCGTCCACAAGGCCGGCAGCTCGTCAGGGCACTGAGGAGCTGACCCACACCTGGGCAGTCCGTGTCAGGATGATCGAGCTTCATGGGAACCAGGGTCAGAGTTGGAGTACTGTCCCCCTCTCTGCCGTCAGGGCTGTGTGTCGCCAGTCCCCTGGGAGGGGCCGGTAGTTGGTGGGCCTCCAGATGGAGTGGCAGGGTGACTCACGGGCCCTGAATATTGGCTCTGAGCAACCACACGTGTGCGTGTGGTTCCTGGCCACGAAGTCAGGTGTGGGGACAGACAGTGGACTGCCTGTGGGTCTCCGTGGGCCAGGGTGGGTCCCAGTAGGAACACCAGGCCAAGGGAAGAGGAGAGGCAGTAGTGGGAAGGCAGGACCGCCCGCCCCCCCCCCGCCGCCCGCCGCCCTTGTGGTGCTGCAGTCTGTGAGGGTGGCCAGGCGATCAGAGCCACGTGTCCTGGTCAGTGGAAGGGCCTAAGGTGAGCGCTGGGTGCTGCCCTCACTTAGTCCCCCTGTCTGAGAACGTCAGAATGAGGAGACCTTGTTCCATTTTTTTTTTTCTTAAAAGATTTTATTTGAGAGAGCAAGTGAGTGCACGAGAGAGAGAGCATGAAGGGGGAGGCAGAGGGAGAAGCAGGATCCCCACTGAGCAGGGAGCCCGACTCAGGGCTTGATCCCAGGACCCTGGGATCATGACCCGAGCTGAAGGCAGAAGCTTAACCATCTGAGCCACCCACGTGCTCCGACCTCATTCCATTTCTCTCGGTAGAGGAAGGCAAACCTTTAGTTACACAGCCTCTAGTGACCCCGTGATGCTCTTCTTGGGCAGAGATTTGAAGCAACTGTCAGAAGGATGAATGGTGACCCAGCATTGGGAGTCAGACTCCTTCATTTAAGTACACAAATTATTGTCCAGAAGACATCTTTCAAAAGTATTCCCCAGGGAGAAGTCAGAGTTCCTTGGAATTCAGGACATTCAAACATAAATTCCGTTTCTGTTGACAGCTAGCAGTGATCTAAACGTCTCATGGAAGGCATTCTCGAGGTGATTTGTTGGTTCTGAGTTCCGGGGTTAATTTCCTTCCTTCCTTTTAGGGTGGAGGGACTAGGGCGGTGACAGGGCTCCGTCCTCCCCAGCACTGTATGCATTTGCTTCAGCAACACTGTTGAATGGATCCATGGCAGGACTGTGTCGGGGACACTAGTGAGCCTGCTCCCTGCCTGGCACATGCCGTCCTCCCTGCCGGGGCCTGGGGCCAGCATGCCCTGCTGTGGGTTGCCCGGGAGGGCCAGCCCGGGGCGGGCTTAGCTTCCCTGAGCTTCTGCAGATAAAACAGCCCGTTCACAGTGCAGGGGTGGGGGAAGGCAAGCCAGCTGAGCTTGAAAGTCATAGGGGTAGGGAAGCCGAAGCGAGTGGGGAGGTCACCGTGCAGGGCACAGGCGGGCACATTGCCGATGGTCCCTGTGGAGTTTCTGGCCAGGTTGAGGTCGATCCCGTGGGGCTGGTCTGTGGTCATCATGCCCCTGAACTCTTGACACTTAGATGAATCCACATCTGTTACGTTGCTGTGTAACAAGTAACCTGCCCTCAGTGGGTGAAAACAACACCACTTTTTATCTCGCTGTTTCTGTGGGTCCTGAGGCTTAGTGTCCCAGCGCAGTCCTGAGAGGACCACTTCCCCGGGGGTGAGGTCTGATTCCAGGTGCATGAGCAGTTGTTGGCGGCGTGCTGGTCCCTGCAGGCTGCTGGGCCGAGGGCCTCACTCCCTTGCTGGCTGTTGGCCGGAGGCCGCCCTCAGTCCCCAGCACAAGGGCCCCTGTGGGGTGGCTCTCAGCGTGGGGGCAGCTCCACCAGCACGAGCGTGCAAGCCACAGCCCTCGTGCCTCGTCTTCCAGCGGTGACCCGGCTCTGGTGCGTTAGAAGCGGTTTCAGGTCCGGCTGCGTGACCACCAGGAGATGGGCCTTGCGGGCGCACCTCGGAACGGGCGGTGCAGGTCTCCCGTGAGCCCCCGCCGGTCCCGCCGCCCCGGGGCCTCGCAGGCGCACTGCTTCCCGTCCTACCTGGGTTCTGTCCTCGTTCCTCCCGCGCAGGTGCGGCCGGCGTGGACGTGGGCTTCAGCGGTCTCTACAAGGCCACCTTTGACAACGTGACGGCCTACCTGAGGAAGAAGGAGGAGAGGCTGCAGAAGCGGCGGCAGAACCCGCCCCCCGGGCCCAATGGGCAGGCCAAGAAGACGAAGCCAGGGGAGGCGTCCCTGAGGTGCCCGTCCTAGCTGCGCCGAGTGCGCTTGCCCCCTCCCGGCCGGGGGCCCCCTTTAGGAAGCAGAAGAGGGATGTCGCTCCCGACCCACGCTTGGTGACAGTCCGGTCCGCAGCAGCTCAGCACACACGTGGGCCGTCCTGGAGAACGGGTGGGTGTCCTGGGCTCTAGAACTTTCTTCCACTGTGCAGAGGCTCCCCTGCCGGGCGTCTTGGGCGCCCCCTGGCTGAAGGGAAGCCGTGCTGCGTGTGACTCAGCTAGAGAAACTACAAGTGAGTAGTGCAAGTGCCTGGAAGCACTTTTTCTTCATGTTGGAGGAAATCGGAACCCGCTGTGGTGGCTGTCGGTGTCGCACCGTTCCCGTAACGCTGGACGCGTTTTCCTCCGGCGAGATGCACGTGCCGAACGTGTTTGTGGCAGCGTGATAGACACGCTCTGTCCCCGGGTCTCCCTCTGGACGGTGTCCTGCGCTGTCCGGCACGGGGGCCGCTGGCCATGGGGTGGAGGACTCCGTTCCTCCGTCAGCACCTGCGCTGCCCCCGTGCTGGGTCCCCGCGTGGCGAGAGGTGCCCGCTCAAGAAGTGCGGCTGCTGCCGATGTGATGCGGGCTCGGTGGGGGCGCAGGGCCCAGCCTCGGCTTCTTTCGGGGTGTGCGAGGACCCGGGAGCCCTGGCTGTAACGGAGTTCTGCAGGGAAATGGTTGAGGCCGTCACGCGCGGGTGTGATTTCCCTGTGAGCTCCATGCACACGATGCAGACACCGGGGGTGTCAAGCGAATTCTAATCACCGCTCAATAAAGATGAGCTCGTGCAGCTTCTGGAAATGTGTAGCCCCAGCATCGGGAACTGATTTTAAAATACACTGAGCAAAACCGTTTTTGATGTGTGCACTGTTTGTGACTGAAACGTTGACCCCCTAAAACGAAGAAGCATTTCTTTGGTGGTTGGGCTTCGTAGCTGCCTCTGCTGCTTTGGTTATCTGTGCTTCTGCCCGCTTCCCAGTGAGTGGTCTCGAATATGGGAAACCCGTGTGTGTCCGCGATGACTTCGGTGAGGGGTTTTTTGGGATACTAGAAACAAATGCTTTTGTGTATCAGAAGTGAGAATGCTTTAGCTTTTCCTAAGTGCCTTGTTTTGCTGTACACATCGATCCGAAAACAGTGCTGTGTTTGAACTGCTCAGGGTCCCTTCCCACAAGGGCAGAAGTGTTTTGTTCAAGGAGCAGAGGGGGTGTGCCTGGGGCAGGATGGGGTGCTGGGGCCCAGGTCCTCCTGTAGGAACCTCGTTAGCACTGCCCTGGGCACAGGCAGAGTTCTCTTTGACAATCTGCTTTGAAATTCTTGGCTTTAGGAGAAACTTAGGTTTGGTCTTTTTGGTGTCTTGTAAAGTGGCCTGCAGGCCAAGGCCTGTCGCTGCCTGGTTTTGTACGGCCTATGAGCTTGGAGTGGCTTTTATGTTTTTAAATGGTTGAAAACAAATCAAAAGAAAAATAATATTTCACGGTGTGTGACAGTCATATGCAATTCAAATTCCAGTGTCCTTAAATAAAATTTTAGTGGGACACAGCCAGCCTGTTTGTTAGGTACCATCTCCGTCTGTTTTGTGCTCTAGCAGCAGAGTGGGCCAGTTGCCACAGAGACCAAATGGCCGGCAGAGTCCAAGGTATTTATGATCTAGCTCTCACGGAGAAGTTTGTCAATCCTTCTTTAAGATCCCTTTTAAATCTGTGTAGTGTTTTTTTTTTTTTTTTAAAGATTCTATGTATTTATTTGAAAGAGAGAGACACAGCGAGAGAGGGAACACAAGCAGGGGGCTCTGAGAGGGAGAAGCAGGCCTCCCGCTAAGCAGGGAGCCCAATGCAGGGCTCGATCCCAGGACCCTGGGATCATGACTTGAGCCGAAGGCAGATGCTTAACGACTGAGCCACCCAGGCGCCCCATTAAAAGACAGAACAAACCCTATTCTTCTGTGTTCACGTTGATCTTCTTTCTTACCAAACGTTCATTCGTGTTCTCTGTGGGCAGGTGTCTTTGTAAAACAGGGCCAGGTTGGGAGGGGTCCCTGGGTCTCCTGGCTGGAGCTGGGGGGTGTGTAAGGCGAGTCCTCTTTCACTTGATGGCGAGACTCAGACATGCCTGTCAGTACGAGGCTGTGCTGAGCAGCCTGTCAGGATCAGAACGGAGTAGGAGGGGGACCTTGGGCATCACCGTCTTTCCTGTGGTTGCTTTCAAATTGCTTTCATTCTTTGTTTTTGTTTTTTTTTTTTAAGATTTTATTTATCTAACAGAGAGACACAGCCAGAGAGGGAACAACAAGCAGAGGGGGAGTGGGGGAGGGAGAAGCAGGTTTCCCGTGGAGCAGGGAGCCCAATGCCGGGCTCAATCCCAGGACCCTGGGACCATGACCTGAGCCAAAGGCAGACTCTTAACAACTGAGCCACCCAGGCGCCCCTAAATTGCTTTCATTCTTGTCACAGTCACACGTGCACGTGATGGAGACCGAACTCTCTTGGCCAACCAGCTGTGACAGTGACCCGCTCTGCGCCCTTCTCCCCATCCCCATTCCATCTCCCAGCTGCTGCTTTCAGCTCTTTTCTCGTGTTCATCTTGGTACAGCCCACATCCTCCGCGAGCCCCAGGACTGCCAACAGCAGTGATCACGCCGACCGATGGGTTGTGCTCCGTTGGCCCACATTGGTGCCTCTGTTCTGTCTGTCCCAGGACACGCCAACTCGGGCTCCGGCAGCAGGCGGGGGTGGGAGGAGGGAGCACAGCACCCCCTTCTACCGCAGCAGCCTTCCCGGGGGGCTGCACCCGTTTGGGGCAGAAGTGGCCTCCTGGGCCCGAAACCCTGTCCATGCCTCTGGAATGAGTCCCTCCATAAGGTGAGGGAGCCGTATTCTCGGGGACCCTGACTGGTAACTAGTCCATACCCGGAGGCCCCCAGCTGCCTCAGACGTTTTTTTTTCGGTTGGTCGCTCTGAACCCCGACCTGTGATGACCGCTTGCTGTGTTTGAAGGCTTTTACGTCTCATGCCCGCTTTCTCCCGTGACTGACTCGCTGAGCTCAAAGCAGAGCCTTTTGTTTGTGGTTTCATAGCTGCTGACCAGCTATGGGAGCCAAGGATTGAGCTTTCTCACACACCTCTTTAATTTTACTTATCTCCTATTTTCCGTTTTTTCTTAGTTTTTGTGTGTTTTACATTTTGGGGAGATTCCTTGGGTCTGTTTCAATTCATTTATTTAGTTTTTAAAAGATTTTAAGTGAGCTCTATGCCCAACATGGGGCTTGAACTTATAACTCTGAGATCAAGAGTCACACGCTCTACCGACTGAACTAGCCAGGCACCCCCAGCTCATGTTTTGACTTAAAAAATCTGGTTGTCGTGGGGCGCTTGGGTGGCTCACTCAGTTGGATAAGCATCCGACTTTTGATTTTGGCTCCTGTCACAATCTCGGGGTCGTGAGATGGAGCCCTGTGTCGGGCTCTGTGCTCAGCAGGGAGTCTGCTTGAGATTCTCTCTCTCCCTGTCCCTCTGCCCCTCCAGTCGCACGTGCCTGCATGCGTGAGCACTCGTGTGTGCACCCTCTCTAGATAAATAAAATCTTTTAAAATCTGGTTGTCCTGTTTCTTAATTCTCAGCACGTTCTTGGTCTGCGTGCATTTTGATTCAGCTACAGCTGGAAGGTGCATGTAGAATGCACCAACTAGACGGCCTCCAGCTGAATGCACGTGTGTACCGTGCCCACCAGAAACAGCTGAGGGGCACCTCCCCCCGCTCCCCCAGGCTAGGCCAGCAGGCGGCTTGCCTTGTGTTGCTTCAGGCCACTTTGGCTCAGCTCCTCTGGTGACAGTCATCTGCACTGGGGCTTCGGGTGCTAGATGGTTCGCTCTAGTTGCGTAGTGTTCCCACAGCAGCATGTCCGTTCTGTCAGTGCGCTTTGGAATAGTTTCCAAATTTTGGCTGCGGTGAACATTCTGGTCCTTATCTCTAGGAACATATGTAAACATTTCTGTTAGGTACCTACTCAGGAGAACTGCAGGCTCTTAGTTCTGTAGATGTTTCATTTCGATGGTACTGCCTGGCCTTGTTACTTCAGACCCTCCGCTGCGGACTGTAAAATTCGGTGCGTTCTCAACACTCAGCATTTGGGTTGTGGTGGTGTTCAATTTTGCAAAGGCACAAACCCGGGAGTTATGGCCTGGGGTGTGGGAGCCGGTGAAGCCGCCCACCTCGCGTCCAGACAGATTTGATCTTGCTCTCTGCAAGGGCGCCTTCAAGAAATGCTTGGATCCCCTGCTCTGGGGGCTGTCCACAGGCGATGAGGACGCTCAAGCAGCCTGTGAAGACGCTGACAGGGCCAAGGAGCCGAGGCCTCTTGCCGGTAGCCAGCATCGACTGGCCGTTCCGGAGGCGCCTCGCTCTGATGCTGGTCTAGAACGCTGCTGAGTTTCCTCCGGCACTTGCCTGAACCCTGGATGTGTTGACATATATTTTTCTAACTTCCCTTGTGATTTCTTTGATCTGTGGATTATTTGGAAGCGTCGTTTAGTTTTATAAACGTTGAATTTTTCCAGATTTTTGTTGTTACGGATTTCTTGTTTTAATTCCATTGTGGTCCCAGAGTACACTTTGATTTCACTCCTTTTAGATTCGTTGAGCCTTGTATGCCATACAGCACGGTGATTATCATGCATATACTTGACAGGAGTGCGTGTTCTGTAGTTGTTGGCCGGACGGTGCTCACGTGGCGTGCTTGGGTCCAGTTGGTGACGGTCTTGGTTGTCCTCAGCTGGACGAACACTGTCGTCCTCCTCATTTTTGTGGTCTTCTGTCGATTACTGAAATCCGTATTTAAATATAAGTGTGGGTTTGTCTAGTTTTCTGTGTCCCACTGGGTTTTGCCTCACATATTTAAAAATCCTGACATTAGTGCCTCCTCACCGAGGAATGTGACATCGTCTTGTTGAACGACCTCTTCACGGTTATGAAACGTCCCTTTTCATCCCTAGG